CTAGTGCATCTCTTGAGGAGAAGGGGAGATCATCCAACAAGGGAGCTAGAGAATCAGTGGATCTGGTGTAACTTCGTGTAAGGGCTTGAGTAAGAGTTAAAATCTTGCACCTTGTTATTTTGCTTAAATCTTGTAAATATGGACGATTAGGGTTTCTTCCACCATTGTTGGGACTTTGAATGCATAAGGTCCCTTTTGAGGTCTAGACTTCGGATCTGGACTTTGTGAGGTCCAGAGAGTCCAAAGGATATAACTTTATTTAGCCATATAAGAGTTATTGTGGTTAATCATCCTTGTTAGAGTTATATTGGCATTATGAGCCTTATATGCCATGTTAAAACATAAAGCTTGTAGCTTTACGTGACAATCGACCCTTAGGATGGTAGATCTAATGTTTGCGGTGATGGGTCTGCCTTAAATCGTTCGAATAAGGAATCTGGTCGAAGGGACTCGCTGAGTCCATGGCCTGACTCGACGAGTTGGTGAGGGTTTGTCCTGATGGGGTTGATTGAGTGATAACTCGGCGTGTTGGGGGTCAACTCAACGAGTTGAGTTAGATTTTTTAGGACTTCTGAGGATACGAGGGGACTCGACGAGTCGCAAGAGTGCACTTGACGAGTCAGGTCAGACATGGACTGTTGACTCGAGTTTGACTTCTGTTGACTTTGGGGATTTGGTCAATAGGAGTAATAGAGACCATGGAGGGGTAAAATGGTCTTTTATCCACTTCAAAGAGTTAGAGAGAGAAGGAATAGCCTTCGGTTATTTGAGTTGTGAAAAGAATATTAATTAGAGATATGCATCCTTTGTGTTAGGCGGAGGCTAGTTCGAGATTCGGGTGCGAGGTTATTTACTTGCTGCTTGCCAGGTGAGTCTTCTCACTATACTTTACCTAGAGTGGTACTTATGTGTGACCGGAGGGTCTTATGTGTTTACATTGAGTATTGTGTTATCCTGCTTATGTGATATGTTGTGCATTATTTCTTTGTGATTTATGCTGTGTATTACTCAGAGTTACAGAGTTAGGACCGGAGGGTCCACATAGCTAGGACCAGAGGGTCCATCAGAGTTGTGGGACTAGAGGGTCCCACTGAGACACATTGACCAAAGGGTCTTACAGAGTTATATCCTTGAGTGGCTAATTATATGCGCATGGTATTTTGGGGAACTCACTAAGCTTCGTGCTTACCATGTTAGGTGTTATGTGTTTCAAGTTGTTCTCAGGATCGCGGGAAGGCACCGACTTGATTGCACACACCAGTGAAAGAGTTACGTTTTTTTGTGAAATACATTGTGAGAATTATGTGATTTTAAATGAACATTATGTTTTGAGAATTTACGTCGTTACATTACACGAAACTGACACGAAAATAATCAGGTTAACAAGGCACATCAAAATAACTAAACAGGTTGGGTCAAGCCGTTTTAACCCATTTAATGCCTTGACATGACACAAACCTGAAACAACACGACACGTTTTCCAAGTCTAATCATTACAGTGATAAAAATGTTATTGACACACATACACTAGAGGTACTTTATAAGTAAGGTCCTTAAGTTTTAATTCAAAATTGAGAAACACGAACAAATATATAGGTGAGAATAAACCCACTTATCCAAGAAAAACAATATAGAAAGATAGAGAATCTCATATCGAAACAAAACGAATGTAATTTACTAATTCGTATTTCATAATGGCAAGTCACAATAGAGAAACAATATATGTGAACTTATAAGATGATGCGTATGGGTCATGGCGTTCTCGTTATTGTCGACGTGGACGGACCTTAACGACGTGGTAATGGGGGGAACACCGCCCCCACTTTTCGTTTCTTCTCGTTGCATCGTTTCCCGTGCTCATTACGACTTGGCAAAACGCGTAATTTTGAATAAATGGACCGTTTTAACAACGATTAAAATGTTAAAAAAGTTACCAAACCTTATATAAATACAACTTTAATTTCATTTTATACATCTTTCTTTCTCTTATATTTTATAAAGAATTTCATAGTTTCTTCTCAATCCAAAAAATGGATCAAAACCCAAACACCCCCCTTCCCCTCCATCATCAAACCCAAACACACAACCAAACACAACATTACCTCTCGGATTTGCGGGTTATGAAAATTATTTCAACATTTTATCGCCTCAAGGATCACCACCAATCCCATACCAAGGCGCCACTTTCAATCCCACTTCACCATCACTGCAATTTCCCAACTCAACTTACCTTGAACAAAATCTTTTTGGTCAAAACCCAAATTTACAACAATTTTTTTTCCTTACTTTTGCTTCGATGCAACAAACAACCAACCAACCACCACCTACAACACAACCATCAGTTGAAGTAGAAGCAGGAGGTAGTACGAGAGGGAAAGGGAATATAAAACCGAAAGGGAAATCGATAGCGGTTGAAACAGAACATGCAGACGTTCCACAATAGTGGATACCGTAGGAGGAATATGCTTTGACGGCGGCTTGGTGTACTACTTCAATAGACGAACTCCGCGGAAATGGAATGAAGAAAGGAGCTTATTGGGGGGCGGTGTGCGACAAGTTTCACACTATTTTGAAGAAAAATTTGTATCGTAACAATGACATGTTGAGCAGCAAATGAAGTCAAATAACTAACTAGTGCCGTAAATTCAACGGTATTTACAACCGACTTCGTGCGCAACAGCAAAGTGGAACAAACGACTTCAATTTGTTCAAATCTGCAAAATAACAATATCGGGTCGAAATGGGAGATGTTTTCGAGTTTGAAAATTCATGGGAGTTGTTGCGAGCGGATCCAAAGTGGAATAAAATGCCTACATCGTCGGAGGTTCAATCCAAAAGGTCTCGCAATTCAAGCTCGATCGACGTGTCGGACGCACAGACTCACATCGACCTAAACGCCGACAACAATGAGATCCTGGATGATATCAAGGAGATATCCCCACCATGACAACCGCTTGGACACGACAAAGCGAGGCACGCTGCAAGGCATGAAGAGGAGGTTAAAGCGAAAGCAAAAGAGGCGGCGAAAATGAGAGTGAAATTCGACGAGCACAATTTATTAATAGAAGAAAAAAATGACTTGAAACGTCGTTATTTGGAGTTCCTAGAAAGGAAGACACAAGAGAAGCAGGAGCAAAAATAGAGGGAATTAATGACACATCAGTTGTTAATTCTTCGGACGAGCGATGAGGGTTTGGCGCCTGCTGATCTAGCGGTGCTACAGACGATGAACGAACAAATTAGGAAAGAAATATTTTGGTTAATTAGGATTTTATAAGTAATTTGAATGATATGTTAGTTATTATTTTAGGTTTAAAATTATATATATATTTTTTAATTGTAATCATAATTTTAGATTTTAAATATTATGTCTTTTTTTTAATTTATATTTTATAAAAATATATTTATTTTAGTGATTAAAAAAACACAAAAAGGAAAAAAACATAAAAGAAAAAATAACAAATTCGAAAAAAAAAACATATTTATTCTCAAAAAGTTGGTGTTGCATCTTGTTGCTCATTTCCCCACTTGGTGTTATAACACCATTTGCTTATGTGACATGTGAGGTGACGTAACTTGTGTTGCATCTTCTTGCCTACACCCAATGCTCTAAGGTAGCAAGTCTTAGGTTGTGTTTGTTTTAAAAAAAAAGCTCTTCTAACCTCTTAGTGTTGCGTGACGCAACACACGAGCAACATTTTTAAGTTCGCAGCAGTTTGTTTTTTTGCAAACTTCGGGATCAAAAACCTCTTCCCGTCCTCTTCCCCACACAACATTGGGCTTGGCTCTTCTAACTAGTTCTAACCTCATCTAAATAAAAAAAATACCCTACTCCCTAAACAAAAAAACGCCGCTCCAGCCTTCTTCGTTCATTCGTTCTTCTTATTCTCGGCACCCTTCTCATCGATCTGAAGGCCGACTCCAACCGCCGCTGCCACTCCCTTGCCGGCCGTCGGTCGCGGTTCATCCTCCCTCGTACAGTCGCCGCTGCTGCTGCCATCCTCTTCAACATCACGTGCGATCTTTGCTGCCATCATCTTCAACATCAGGTAATTTTTTTTTTCTTTTATGATTTCTTATGCAATTGAGTACCGCTACTGATATCTTAGAGGGCACCAGTGAATCGGTAATCAACAAATAAAATACAAACTTTTTTTTCAACAAATCTTAAATCTCCATATAATATTATGCCGGTGGATCAGGAACTTAACCAAAAAGGAAAACTCATTCTATAAATATGATAGTTTGATTATTTTCTATGTAAATCGGATGCAAATTATAAAGGCTAGCCTAGTGTCTAGAAAGCAATTTACTACTTTACCTGATCTTGAAATTGAAAGCATATTCAATATTTGCATAAAGTAAAAGCAAGATATAAACTATAAAGAAAAAATAGAGATCATAGATTAGATGTTTAAATTCAGCATATAAACTTGCTCAAAATTATATTTACATATACGAATTTTTGTGTTGAATTGTTATGAATGTTGGGTAAATTCATAATCATTGCTGAAATCATATACTTATATGCTGAAATCATAAACTTATATGCAAGTTTATATGGTGAAATCATAAAAGTTAATTACTGAAATGTTATCACTTGTATTTCTTGAATGGAGATCAAGTTTATGCTTATATGCAAGTTTGTGCTTAAATCGTTAAACTTATTTATTGATTGTGTTGTATAATCTTTGCTTTTTTTTTGTTCATTCATGATGTATTGTTGTTGAATATGCTAAACTTATTTGTTGATTATGTTGAAATATGATTAATCTTTGTAGTTAAAGTATGTATTCTATATTTTTTTGTTATTAGCAATGGGAGATAAACATATATGGACCAATGAACAAACAAAATGCTTATTGCAAACTTGTATTCAAGAAGTGCAAACCGTGGGTAGAAAAGGTTTGAGTTTGCACAAACAATCATGACACAAGTTAGGAACAACCACTAAGGAAAAGTTTGGCGTGGATTTGAATCAACGACAATTAAAAACTCCAATGATAACCTTAAAGCGAAATACACAGAATGGTTATACTAAAAAAAACAAAACTGGAAACCTTTATAATCCACAAACAAATACTTTTAACTTAACAAATGAGGAGTGGGAGGACTTTAAAAAGGTATATATATATATATATACACACACACACACACACACATTTATATGTATATTTTTATATAGTTGCCATTTATTCTTATATTACTTTTGTTACATTGATTGCGTTTAGGGACATCCGAAAGCCGCTTCTTTGAAAACCGTCCCATTAGTGTTTCCAGAGCTTTATGCAGAACTCTTTGATGGAAACAGTGCATCTGGTAATCTCAGCTATGCCACATGCCAAACACCATCGGGACATGGATCATCTTCTTTCCATGGCGCACCACTATAGATTATGGACGCCCCTTCCATTAGCATAGATGAGGATGATTTCTTTTCCAGTCATACTAGTGAGCATTTTACTCAACCTCCACCTTCTGGTGCTTCACCTTCTGCTGATTCACCTTCTGGTTACCCCAACAAAAGGGTTAAACCCTCAACTCCTAGACCTCGAGCTCCTAGTGCCTAACCTGATCCACCTTCTTGTGCCTCGCCTAAAGCTTCTATTACTGGTGATGATTTAGCACTGGAGATGCAAACTCTACACCATTTGACTCAAGGGCCAACAATTCCCCAATGTTTAAAGAAGCTTGAGTTGCTCAAGTTAGACCCAGTAGACCCTCTACGATTTGCTGCGTACCACATTTTTGGTAGGACCATGAATATATAAGAGATGTGGGTAAATTTGCCTAATGATCCACAAATATTAAGAGGATGGATCGAGATGACAGCTACACGTTTAGGAGTTTTAAAGGATGGAAAGATTATCTGTTAAGTTTATTTGTTTTAGTTGTTTAGGTTTTAATTTCATGTTTTGGAACTATATGGTTATGCTTTTGGTTATTTGCTACTTGAATGTTATTTGTAGTATTTGGTACTTGAATGTTACGTTATGTGGTACTTGAGATGTTATGTTATGTTTTTTGGTACTTGAGATTTATGTTACGATTTTTGGTACTTGAATCTTATGTTATGTTATATATGTTTTGTTGATTAATAGGTTTGTAATGGATCACGACAAAAAGATACTACTCATAATTCTTATGTACTTGTACGTCCGCTACTTTTGGAAGAGGGTGTCAAACGAGTGCGGGACAACGATTCAGAAATCACGGGACATGAATTTACGTTAGAGTTACTTCACCGTAATCCTCTACAATGTCTTGAAGTGCTACGCATGTCCTGTGAATCATTTGTCTGACTATGTGCTCATTTTAGAGTAAACTACGCGTTAAAGGATAGCAAACATGTATCGGTTGAGGAGAATATGGCTATGTTTTTGATGATGATCGGTCATAACCAATGTTATGCGATTATCAAGCGGAGATTTCAACACTCAAAGCAAACAATTCATAGTTATTTCATGAAGTGTTGGACAAAATGTTGCTTTTTGCACATGAAATTATAATACCAACTTCTTTTAATTCAAATCCAAATATTCTGGGACATAATAGGAGGCTACGACGGGTGTTCAGGGGAGCAGTTGGTGCACTTGATGACACTTTGATACATGTTGTTGTCCCCGCAAACAAACGAGATTTATATAAAAGTAGGGGAAAATATGATTGTTACCAAAACGTATTGGCAATATGTGACTTCAACATGATGTTTACGTTTGTTGTGGCCAGTTGGGAATGGATAGCACACGATTCTAGAATTTTATCAGCAGCATTAGCAAATCCACATGCACCATTCCCGCTTCCACCACCAGGTAAGTTTATGGTCATTTAAATAGTTTTATCTTAGTTTGAAAAATAAATGATTTTTTTTACAGATAAATATTATCTTTGTGATGTCGCGTATGCAAACATTCGAGGTTTTGTGGCACCGTACTGTAATGTGAGGTATTGACTTGGATATTTCTGTCGAAGACGTTCATTAACGAATAAAGAAAAATTTAACCACACGCACGCATAACTTCGGAATGTCATTGAGCATGCTTTTGGTGTCTTGAAAGCACGATTCTCTATATTGAAGAGGATGACACCATTCTCGTTGGTTACACAACAAAATATTACCCTAGCATGTTTTGCGCTTCATAATTTTATAAGAAGAGGGGGACTACATGATGAGTATTTTGCACGATATGATGAACAAAATGTTTCGGTTCGGAATAACAAAGCAGCCATTGATAATGATGAAGATGAGATTCCAACACATGATATTGCAGCGGACCGTGAATATATGATCCAATTACGGGATGAAATTGCCGAACAATTGATGCAAAATATGGAATGAGAATTATTCGAATTTGGTTGTATGAATTTTATTTAAAAATGTTATTGTAAGACTAATATGGTTGTTTGAATTTTATTTCAATGTTTTAAGACTACAATTATTAAATTTTTGTTATTAAAAAACCATTTTCGGTTTATTAAATTAATTTATTTTAAATTATTTAATATCTACAGCAACCTGCAGACGTTAAAAAAACAAACATGATTCTCATTACAGTTTGCAGCATTTTGGTCCAGCTCTTTACGTGTCATCAATCTTTCGATTGCAACCTCTCAATCGTCTTCATATCTATACGATAATAAGACCGCTCAACACTTAGAGGGTTGGGTAACCTTATTTAAAATTGTTTTTATCACTTTTTAACTTATAGCTTTTTAGCTTATACAAGTGTGAAAATGAAGTTTTTAAAAAAGTATTATGGATTAGTTTATCGGGTATCAAAATACTATAAATTGATAAGCATCTTTTAGTATTTCACAAAAAATGACAAAAAAAGGCTTCCCAAGTATCAAAATACTATAAATTGATAAACATTTTTTAATGTTTCACAAAATAACCAAAAAAGTGCTTCCTAGGATGCTCAATAGCTATAAGTTATAAATAAATTTGAAGGGGTTAGTAACTTATTAAAAATGATTTATCTCCAGTTCCATACCGTCATATACTATTTTTAAGAAATAATCTATAAAAACATTCACTTTAACTTATATCGGTTTAGAATTGCTAATAATTAAAAAAAACTCTTTTTGTAAGCTTAACTAAACACCCTTTAATATTTGATTTTTGCTAAACATGTAAACCTAAATCACCAATGTCTCCTCCTCTTCTATGCATATTTTCTATTTTAACTCCTTTGATTTAGGTTACCGTTTTGTGATATCATATTTTTATTATTGCATGATTTGGAAATTAGATAGAAACAAATTTGGGACAAAAATATTAAATACTACTAGTACATGATAAAATCATGCCCCCATAAATAATGCTTATTTGGGTCGTCCCTCAGGTCACCTTGGGCCGGGTTTGCTGAACCCTGCTAAACCTTTAACATGGTTGTATCTTTAGAAACTAACTAAATAATAATAATAATAATAATAATAATAATAATAATAATAATAATACTTTTAACAAAATATGTTTTAAAGAAAATATACGTGACATGTGTCTCATAACACCCACAAAGTAGGGATAAGCATAGCTGGGTACCCGCCTCTAGGGCTGTAAACGAACCAAACGAACACGAACAAGGTCTTGTTCATGTTCGTTCGTTTAAGTTAGCCGAACAACAAACGAACACGAACGGATAAACGAACGGGATTTTCTTGTTCATGTTCGTTCGTTTAACAAATTACTTTGTTCATGTTCGTTCATTTATGTTCGTGAACATGCTAAACGAACATAAACAAACAAAGATAAAAAAAAACACAATTGAACATATATGAACATAAACAAACATATAATATAACAATATTGTCACACCCCAAAACCAGGAACGGCGGAAACGTTCTGGGACGGAGGACGTCATGTATAATATCAACAACAATGCAAAGTAGTAAACAAGCAACAACATCATCCATTGCATTAATAATATAATTATTATACAAATATGTTCTGTCAAATTTTGATAAACACTAAAGCATAAATCAAAATGAAAGATAAGTCTTGAACAAGCTCCATCTTCCTTTCTCCTTGCATCGGTACCTGTCTATGATGACCTGAGGATACAAGTAATTTTGAAAGCGAGTATCAGCATTGAAGCTGGTGAGATAATAAGTATTTAGTGTCTTAATTTGTATGTAAGAATTTGTAAGTCTATGTATTGTAAGAATTTGTAAGTGTATATGGATTGTAAGTGTTTGAAAAACCTTAGAATCCCTATGATTCCTTCTAGTATATGAAGGTGTCTTCTACCAAGACCTAATTGTTCTGTGTGTGTGTGTCTCTTGTAAGAGGATGTATTTTCCAAAGTATAACTATCATTATCCAAAAATATAGTTTGTACATTAATGTTTAAGTGAGGTTATCACTAAAAATATGTAATGGAAAAATCAATGTAGTACTATGGTGTAGTGCCGAACTACAACCGTACCTATTACCTTAAATCTAGGGTAATACTTCCAAGTACTGTAGTATTTGATATAAATAACTACATCGATACTCAATGCCTTATTTGAGGGATAAGGTATAATGTGATGTCTAGATCCCAGACTATACGCTCCCCTATCAAAGGGATTTTGGGACCTACCCACGACCCCTGCATGAATGCAAGCCGTGAGCATCCACATTACTAATGATCATGTATACTCGATATAACTATCACAATTGCGGTGTGATTCATCAGTATAGTTAGATCCTGAACTGGTTCCGTGCTATAGCCCCTAGTGACGTCTATTCTATGTATATGTAAGTGTACTCATGTAAGTGTGATCATGTAATTGTACTCATGTAAGAGCGATCATGTAATAGTACAGTAGTGTACTGAAATGTTCTACGTGTGCTAGCTGTAATGTGTGTTCTCTCTATCTAGCAAGTATAGTAATGTAATCATTCTAGTATAGCTGTATATGTTCTCGTCCTAGTATAGTTGTATATGTTCTCGTCCTAGTATAGTTGTATATGTAATGTACTGAAAAGTTCTAGAAAGTATTGACTCATGAATGAACTGACTCATTGTATGATATCGCGTTCTAGTAATTATTCTAGTATCTTCCTAAACTACCCATATGGTAGTTTACTAGTAATCTATCTGGTAAGTATGGACATGGATGTATACCCTTGCTACCCAAGGGCATATGTTGAACTGGAAGGACCTTTTATGACTATATATGTACACATGATATATAACTAATATTTAAACGACCTTTGGACGAATACTCAATATCCCACCAGACCACATCTCAAGACGCGAAAAGGAAATAGGGTGGATAGCCTTCCTAAGTCTTTTAAACATTTCTTATATAACTATACATATAGAGGCATGCATATTATAATATAAAAGCATAAATAAGTTTTGTAAGACATTTGAAATATAAGTATTATTTTAAGAAAAGATCGACTTGATGTCAATCTATAAAACAATTTGAAGGCATAAGTTTAATAAAACAGTTTAAGTATAAGGAAATATTTGTTTGAAACACAGTTGTAAATAAGTTTCAAAGGTAATGTACGGAGTAAGCTGTACAATGTAAAAAGGAGTTTAAAACATATAAAATGTTTATAAAAAGTCATTTG